GGGTCTCCCTATGCCTCGGACCCTGACTCCTACCTGGCAACTGCCAACTCCAGACCCCTCTGTGTAGTGTGGGCCAGTCAGTGCCACCACAGCCCTCAGTTAGGGCATTCTCACCTGTCCTTCCTCCCATCACCCAAGGCAGGCTCTTGGCCTCACAGGGGGTCTCACCAGCCCATTTCACAGACCAGGAAAGTCACAGCCCAGAAGGCTGAATGGTTATGCCCCAAGAATACCCCAGGGTGGAGGGGAGCTGATGGCCGGCAAACCCTGCACCCTCTCACAAAACTCTTGGTGTACAGCAACTTTTCGTCGGCTCGCAGTGAAGACATGTTGGAATGATCCGTGATAATTGGAGATGATAGGAGACTCGCCCAGCTCCAAGACTGGGAAATGTTACCCAGACCCAATCCACTGTTGCTGAGACACAACTCAATCCTGGCCGGGCTCCCGGTTGGCCACCCCTCAGCCCTCAGACTCCAGGCGGTGCTGCGCCTGCTTCTCTCACCCTCGGCCCCCACTCGCATCCGCAGTTGTTCTCTGGGTTCACCCGTTGTTCCTGGAACCTCCTGCCTCCACCTGTCCTTCGAAATGTTGTCAACGATGTGACTGTTTCGGGGGCACCCAGAGGCCGGTAAACCTGAGAGGAAGCAGACAGTCAAGGACCCCAGACCTTCAACCCCACCCAAACTTCATGTTCCACAGCCCCGACTCTTGGTTCCTCCTGCTCATCTCGGGGGCTGCTCATTTCTCACCGCCATCTGTTGCTCTGGGCCCCTTACAAATTGGATTCTTTCCTGGTTTGGACCCACTGGAGCCCTCCTGGCAGTGCTGGCAGGGACACGAGGGACAACTAGAAACAAGCGTTCTATGTCCCGGCCCTAGAGCTCTCTGCATTTTCAGGGTCGTAACATTCTGGGGAGTGGACAGCTGACCCCATCTCCTCTGGCTGCCCGCAGGGCAGGACACAGGTGCGGAGGGACAGGGAGACTCGCCCAGCTCCTGCTCCCAGCCTGTCTCCCCTGTCACAGTGCCCCATTCACAGGGCCCCTCCCTCAACACTCGAAGTCACTCCTCCCCGCCTTGCCCTCCTCAGACATCACAGGCTTCAAGCTCCTGGTGCTGTGCACCAGCCCAAATCACTCTCCCCTAAAGGATGACGCTCTGCCAAGCAATCTTCCGCCTTTATAAGATATACTTGATGTTTTAAATTATGTTCTTTCAGCTCTTTCTGTCCCAAACAAGAGGGTAGGGGTGTTTTCGCACAGTTAGACCCACTGCCAGGAGGGTCTGTGGTGAGGTTTCTGGGAGTCAGGGACCCTGCTTTGACTCCCCAGCTCCTCAGTGCTGCCCTGAGCTCCCACCCCCATTGTTTCCTGAGCTGGGTGGGCCAGTGTCCAGCCACCCAGTTCTTTGATCAGTGGGAACCCAGGAGATCCTATTCTGGTGGCAGGAGGAAACTGGGCCTGGAGAGAGGGTCTCTGGGGACTCCCATCCCAGAGTCCCGAGAGACCCTGTCGAGGGCAGAAGTTGCTGGAGGACAAGAATGCCTGAAAACTTGGCTGGAAATGGCCGGGGGCTTTATCCTGGGCCTCCTGGCCACACACTGACCAGTGCAGAACCAGCGCATGGCCCAGTGTTGGCGGGTTAGCACCGACCTAGCACTTTTTCTTCCCATCTTTTCATGCTCTGCCGATTTCCAATGATCCCCTAGGGTAAGGGTCAACATGCAGAAGGTGCATTGGGGCCACTTCTCCCTTAAGCCTCCTTGAGAGAGGGTGTCCCGAGGGGCGGGGCCACGAGCATTTCTATAGGCAGGGATGTGGCCGTGGCCTCAGGACACTCTGGGTGATTCCTCCCTGCCTTGCCCTCCTCAGACATCACAGGCTTCAAACTCCTGGTGCCAAGCACCAGCCCAAATCATTCACCCCTAACAGATGACGCGGTGTCATGTGACTCTCCGCCTTTACAAGATATATCTGATGTTTTAAAATTCTGTTCTTCCATCTCTTTCAGTCCTAACTTAGGGGGAAGAGTGTGGTCGCACGCTAAGAGGTTTTTGGCAGGAGGGTCTGTGGTGAGGGGTCTGCGCACCCGGGGACCCTACTTTGACTCCCCAGCGCCACTGAGGCAGCTCCTCAGCATTCCCCTGAGCTCCCACCCCCATTGTTTCCTGAGCTGGGGAGCCAGTGTTCAGCCACAGAGGTCTTTGGACAGCAGAAGCCCAGGAGGTCCTCTTCTGGGGACAGGAACGGACAGGTCCTGGAGAGGGGCTCTCTGGAGACTCCCATCCCAGAGTCCCGGGAGACCCTGACGAGGACAGAGGCTGCTGGGGACAAAACTGCCGGAAGAGTTGCTGGAAATGGGCCCGGGCTTGATCCTGTGGCCTCGGGGCCATACACTGACCAGTGCAGGGCCAACGCAGGGCCTTTTCTTACCGTCCGTTGTGCTCTGCCAATTTCCAAAGATCCCCTAGAGATGACCCCTAGAGGTGACCCGTAGATGACCCGTAGAAGGGTCACCATCTGGAGGTGACCCCTAGATGACCCCTCGAAGGGTCAACAGGGGGAAGGTGTGATGGGGCCACTTCTCCCTCAAGCATCCTTGAGAGAGGGTCCCCCGAGGGGCGGGGCCACGAGCTTTTTTTATAGGTAGGGATGGGGGCGTGGCCTCGGGGCAGCAACCCCATTGGCCAGGGGGAAACCTAGAGCTCCCGGGGCAACCTCAGGATGAAGGCTGCACCAGCCTCTGCCCTGGTGGGCCTGACGGGCCTCCCCACCCCCACCCGGACCCTCGGGCACTGCCCCCTACCGACGATGGTGGCTTGGAACTCTGTGGGCCCCATGGTGGGCCAGGAGCACTGACCCTTTCGGTCTCCCGTAGCTCAGTCCACGACTTTCTCATTCCCAGAGATCACGTACCCCCGTGCCCAGGCTGAGCTGCAGCTGCCAGGATTCGCCCCTGAGCACCCCTAGGTCTGCCCTGGCTGCTGCTGTGGGAGCCCAGCGAGCCTGGCAGAGGGGCTGTCCTGGTCGCTGTCCCCACGGCCCCTCTCTCCCCAGGCCCCTCTACTTTCTCTCCTTGGAGCCCCTGCCCTCCCTGCCCTTCCTCTCTCCTCTCCTCAGGCCCGCAGAGTTCTTGCTCCTGCCTTATCCGGTGTCCACGTTCTCTCTGTCCTGTCTCTGCTTCGTCCCAGACTCGCAGCAGCCACTTTGTGGGACTTTTGAGCCCGCAGACCCAGTCAGTCCCTGACCAGTTCCCCATGTTGCACAGAGACTTCCCTTTCTGAGCCCTGGAGGGCTCTTAATGACCCCACAGAACCTCCCTATCCAAGCTCTGCCCCTTTCTCTGAGACTCAGTCCATCCTATTGGGAGCTGGACATCAGACTCGGCCTTGGGGAAGCTGGACGCTTCTCTCATGTTGCTCCCGGCCTGTTCTGGAAATCCCTCTCAATACACACACTCCCAACTAGGGCCACTCAGCCTGGCCACGCTGCCCTCACGAGTCCTGCAGCCTGAAAGGAACCCCAACTCCCCCATATCGCCCGTGCCCACTATGGCACCCCAGAGTGCCCCTGTCCTCCCTGCCCTGAGCACTTTCAGGCCCCAGTGGTCTGCGGCTGTCTCCTGTAGCTCTGAGATCTCCCCCTCTCACTTTCGCTGGGCTGAGAATCAAATCCATCTCTGATGGTGGGGCACAGGGTCACTGTGGGCTTGTGCTGTCTGGGGAGCTTGTGGGCAGTGAAGGGTTCCACACTGGGGTGAGGCTCTGGGCAGAAAAGGTCCATCCAGTCCTTGAGAGGCTTAGAAAATACCTGGAGGTTTGTAGGTCCTTATCCTGAAACATCGACTGGCCACTAGGGGTGGGAACTCACATAGCATTGGGGCAAGGTGGGGGGCTCTTCCTGGGGGGCACTGCAGAGGGGGTATAGATGGGATAGGCACCATGGGTGGGCAGTGACAGGCTCTGGACATGGTGAGACCCCATGGCACGGATTCCTCATCATCCAGAAGCACGAGCCATTCCTGGCAGGACCCGCCCCGCCCAATGGCACACACCCACACAGACTATGATGGATCCACTTATTGAAATAGTCGTGGTAACAGGATGGTGGTTGTCAGGGAGAGTGGCCCAGTCCTCCTCCTCTCTCTCCTCTGCCACCAATTTATGATTTCCTAAACTTCCCCAAGACATGCCTACCACTCAGTTGCTCTGACTTCTACTGTCTGATGCTACAGTAACTTATTAGTCCTTGTTTCTGGCAATTTTTCAGGTTTTACTGTTATTATTCAATCTCTATTATGTATAATAAAGTTTCTCTTTCTCCTCCTTCTTCCTCTCCCACTCTTTCTCTCTCTCTCTCTCTGTCTCTCTCTCTCTCTCTCTCTCTCTCTCTCTCTCTCTCTCTCTCTCTCTGAGCTTCTTAAAGTTTTCCATTAGCAACCTCTTTTTGTTAGGAAATTTTTTCCGTGGTCCCTGATTTTGAGGTATGTAAAATAAGGATACAAATATTTATTTGATAAATCATAAATAAATTTATTTGATTTTTTCTTTCTTTTTGGGTCACATCCAGCGATGCACAGGGGTTACTCCTGGCTCTGCACTTAGGAATTACTCCTGGCAATGCTCGAGGGACCATATGGGATGCTGGGAATTGAACCTGGGTTGGCCGCCTGAAAGGCAAACACCCTACCTGCTGTGCTATCGCTCCAGACCCCTACGTCATAAATAAATTTAAAGTAAAACAAGTATCTTTTAAGTTATGCAAACCCCGTGTGTAGTCTTGATCTACAGTTTAAGAAGCCAGGCCTGGTGCTCACACAAAGTGCTACCCTTATTTCTACACATATGTGAACAAAAGTGTGCACACATACATGCATACACATAGTCCATCTTCACTTTTACATACACGTGCACACACATAAAAATGCACACTTTTACACATGCACATACAGTACAATCCACACATCTATACACATGCATACACACACCATGTACATACAGTGCCATCCTCACGTCTACACACGAACATAAAAGTCAGACGTATGTTCTCACTGGTGCTGGGGGCCACCAGGGCCATCCCAGTGATGCTTGGGACCTCCAGGGCTGTAAATGGTGAAGTTCAGGAGGGGCCACGTGGGATAAATCCAGGGCTGGGTGTGTGCTTTGGTGACCCCTGTGACCATCTCCCCTTCTGCTCCCCCTGATTCCAGAGCTGGGGAAAATGGGGGTGAGGTTTACAGAAGTAAAACAGTTTCCCCACCACCCCAACCCTCCCCCCGCAGGATCTGCCCTCACATCTGCTTTAAGGAGACCCCATTCCAGCAGCAGCAGCAGCAGCCCCCAGGCCTGTCCCAAGCCCCGCCCAGCCCCCAGCAACTCCAAGTGAACAAGACAGGCCAAGCATTAGGGATCCTGCAAGACAAAGGCCCCAACAGTTCCCCATCCCACCCCACCCCCATTCCCAGCATGTCCCTTATCACAGCATGCCTGGGGCCTGCTCCTCCCTGAGACTCCCGGGGTCTACTTCAGCCCCAAGATTGACAGCACAGATGACACTGCCCACTCACCGGGCGCAGGAGGAAGTAGTGGTTCTCGGGGACCGGGTTCTGGCAGAGCTCTATGACCAGGCTTTCCCCGCCCGCCTCCACCGCCAAGCACCCCTCGGGCTGGTGGGTGTTGTAGCGGATCTCCTTCCGGGATGTATACTCGAAGAACTGCAAAGGAGCCGTCCGTGGGCAACGGTTACTGTCGGCCATGGAGGAATGGACAGACACCAGGCGGGATCAGAGCGCAGGGGCCAGGCAGAGAGCCTGAGTGTCCAGTTTTGAGGGTCTGTGAGTGTCTGGCCAGAGTTCCCCAAGGCCCCCTTCTCATGCTCTGCTTCTTCCCTGAGTGTTTGAGACCCCACGCTGTCCCTACCCTTGAGCTGGCCAGAAAATGGACGGTCTCAGTAGCCGAGTGGGCAACTCTGAGGCCTGAGCTGCCCTTTCTCTTCTCTGGGATTTTCTGCCTCTTCCCGGCAAACTCGAGGGAGTTTGATCCAAAGCAATGGCACTGTGGAATCACTAAAATGTCCTGTGCAGGCAGGAACTGCACTGCCAGGGAGAGGGCAGGCCTGGGTCACACAGGGAGACAGGGTGCTGGAATCCAGCTTCTCCGGCCAAGTAGGTGCCCTCCTGAGCCGACCCAGATCTGCAGGGTTTTCCTTTTTCTTCCTCTAACTGTAGGTATTGGTGCACGGTTAGTCATAACTGCACAAACGGGTTTCTCTGGGTCCTATTGGGCACTGCTTGCTCCGTTTTCTATTTCCCAGATGTTCTACAATGAGTCTGTATTACCTTTGCAGGCAGAGAATCAGTTCATCTCACCGCTCCAGAATTACATGGTGCAGGGCCAGAGGGATAATACAGTGGAGAGGGTGTTAGCCTTGCTGACCTGAGTTCAATCCCTGGCATCCCATATGGTCCCCTGAGCACTGCCAGGAGTGATTCCTGAGTGCAGAGCCGTTAGTAACCCCTGAGTAACCCCAGGCGTGACTCAAAAACAAACAAAGAACTACATGATGTGAACCACCAAGAGGCCAAAAGGCACAATATTCCCAAAAAAGACATCGGAGCATGCATGGATCATGCAAGAGGAAATCATCAAATATAAACCATAAACATTCAATGATGACAACTAGTTAAAACACAGAAGCCAGAGTCTGCATAGGAGAAAGAGGGACAAGAAACTCATCTTCATCCGAAGGCGGTTTCTCCAGGTCCTCTCGGGCACATTTGCTTCACTTTCTATTTCTCAAATATTTTACAATGAGTCTCTATTACCTTTATAAATTGAAGAGGTCAAATATTCACTTTTTAAAAAACACACATTGATGTGCTGAAAGTAGATAAAGGACCAAACATAATGGCCTCTCAGTATCTGTACTGCAAACCATAATGCCCAAAAGCAGAGAGAGAGTAAGAAGGGAATTGTCTGCCATAGAGGCAGGGGATGGGGGTGGCGGGAGGGATACTGGGAACATTGGTGGTGGAAAATGAGCACTGGCAGAGGGATGGGTGTTTGATCATTGTATGACTGAAACTCAATCATGAAAGCCCTGTAACTGTGTACCACAGTGATTCAATAAAAAAAAAAATTAAAAAGCAACAACACACATAGATTTTCCCCAATTTCCCTCTTTAAGAGGCTCCCAAGACCTTGAATCCAGGGCCCCCTGCTTCCTTTTTCCAGAGAGAAGCGTCACCTACCTGGTTCTGGCCCAGGCCGTGATAGGTGTACAGAATAACCTGGTGCCCTACAATCTGGTTTTCATCAGGAGGATTATAGTCAAAGCAAAGTCCTTGCAGTCCTTTATTGTGGAGCTACCAAGAAACATAAGGGGAGTTTCCAGTTCAGGTTTACACACAACTGAGTCAACCCAGGATGCTGCGGGAGGAGAAACAGCAAGTGAGGAGGGCCCGGGACAAGAACTAGGCCCAAAAGTAAGAGCTTCTGGGACCTGAGCGATAGTACAGAAGGTCAGATGGCTGACCTTGCACATGGACAAACCCCGGCACCCCACAAGACCTCCTGAGCACCGCCAAGAGTGATCCCTGAGCGCAGAGCCTGGAGTAAATCCCTGAGCACTGCCAGGCATGGCCCCCAAACCAAAAATAAACAAATAAATAAGAGCTTCTGATATTTTTACCTATTATTAATTTATTCATTTTGGATTTTTTTTTGGGGGGGAAAGGAGGGGAGCATCACATCTAGCAATGCTCAGGGCTTACTTCTGGCTCTGTGCTCAGAGATCACACCTGGTGGTGCTTGGTGGGGAATCCTATGGGGTGCTGGGGATAGTGCCCAGTTTGGTCACGTGCAAAGGCCTGAAGAGCATCATGCCCCATCATCCCCTCCAGGGCTGCGCTTGGACAAAAGAGAAATGCAGTGGGACGGGGTGGGGTGGGGATGCAGGAGACAGAGGCAGGGCGAGCAAGAGTGACACACTCCCTGGGGCAGGCAGCCCACGACGGCCTCCTGATCCTCTCGGCACCTCGGGAGACCTGGACACTTCACAGTGGCCAAGGATTTGAACGTGTTCAGAGCCCGCTGGGCGCTGACAAAGGGCTTCCAGAATGGGGGAAGCAGCGTCGCCAAGCCGTGCAGCCCAGGAGAGGGGAGTCTCTACCTTGGCGTGATTTCTCTCAAGAGTGAATGGCGCACTGGGGCCGGAGAGGGTCTGGGGGGTGAGGGCACTTGCCAGGCAGGCAACCAAGCCTCAGTCTGGCGCCAACAACATCATGAGTGACCCCTGAGCACCACCGGGTGAAGCCCAACCCCAACCCCCACAGCCCAAATACTTCCCATTTGTGTGCAAGGGTTTGGAGGTGGGGCGGAACGGGTGTTTAGGCCATACTTCGAGGTACTCAAGGGCCACTCCTGACGGTGTTCAGGGGACCACGTCTGGTAAAGGGGATCAAACTAGGGTTGGCCATACAGAGGGCAAAGCTTAACCTTAACCCCGGGACTATCTCTCTGCCCCCCCCCAAAGAATTCTTTTCTCTTTCTTTTGGTGAACAACAGAAGTGACTCTCCTTTTCCTGCCCCATCCTCCTGTACCCCCCCACTGGTCCCCAAGGACCCCTGCGGTGGGAATGACTAACTGGCCCAGACACTGAGACTCGGGTGTGAAGTGATGTGATGGGTAGAGGTGGTGTGGAGAGTCCAGGCAAGCCTCAGTCTCCTCATGCACAAAATCACAGGCAGAACCTGAGTCTCGTTCACATGCTCCCACGTGAGCGAGCTGAGAGCCAAACCCAGCCGGGGGAGGGGAAGAGCCGGGGAGAGGGCCGGGGCTGGGGAGCCCAAGGGACCCCATCGAGGACCTGCCTCATGCAGGGCGTGGGGACCCTGCCGGCAGCCCCCCCGGGCGCAGCCCTCTCACCATCCCGAAGCAGCCGGGCCGGTCCTCGGGCACGTGCAGCTCAGGATACACGTTCTCCAGGAACCACTTGAAGTCCATACACTTGAGCTTCTCACGGAGCTGCTGCCTCTCGGTCACGTCTCCAAAGGACTCCTAAGGGGGGTCCATGCGGTCAGCCTGAAGGCCCTCCACAGTCCCCCACTCCACCCCACCCCAGTCCTGGGGCGTGATGATACCCCCAAGCCCTAGCTGTGCAGGTGTGGGTGGGTGCCTAGGGAGAGAGCTGTGGCAGCCGGGGTACCACCCCCCCCACACACACACATGCGCGCGCACACACACACAGGGTTCCCCGTTGCCCAGCTCCAGCCTGGGGAGACCCAGTGCACCTCGATGGTCATGAAGCGCCTAGGACATGATGGGAGCCCCAAACCCCAGCCCTGTGGGCATCCCTGGACACACAGCACTTCTTCAATGGGACAGATTGAGGAAGGCTGGCTGAGGTAGACACGCATGCAAAGCCAAGAGACGGGGCTGGGATGAGATGAGATAGCGCACATATGCATGACCCATCCCCGGCACCACACACACACACACACACACACAAACACTCACACACACACACTCACACACACATACATACTCTGTGTTGAAGAGATAGCTCAATGGTCAAGAGCACATACAGGAGGCCCAGGTCCGAGTCCCGGCACGGCAGGGAACCCCCAGCACTGAGTCAAGGGTAGAACCCAAGCACCTCCAGGTGGGGGTCATAAGTAAACAGGAACCAGAGAGCTCGTGCAAAGGGCAGGGCGCTTGCCTGGCAGGTAGCCACCCTGCCCTGGTCCCTGCCACCTCATTTGGTTCCCAGAAAAAAAATCACCAGGCATGATCCCTGAGTGCAGAGCCTGGAAGAGGCCCTGGCGACCATGGCATGGGGCCTGACCTCCCCTCCACGACAGAAATACCCACGATCTGAAGAACATGCAGTGGCTGGAGGTAGCCGAAACCCAGCCCTGATTTTCCTAGAAGCAACAAGCTCAGGGTCCCCCAACCTGGGGTGGGCAGCATGAGCTGCTGGGTGTGATTCTCAAGGCCGGGTGGGCATCAAGAGACATCAGCAGAGGGTCATCACAACCATGGAGGAATCAAGCAGTCCCCCACTGGCCTCACCAAGGCCCACCGCAGCTTCTGCCTCCGGAAGTGGATGTGCGGGCATGGAGGGTGGAGGGAGGAGGGAGCAGGAAGGCGGGGGTTGGTTCTGAGGAGGCCTGCAGGGGTGAAGGCAGACGGGGCGGGCGGGAGGAGCTCACCAGGCGTGCGTGGGGGTTGCAGTGGTAGAAGAGCTCCTTGAACTCATCCAGCCACACTTCGGCAGCGCGGACACTGTTGGCCAGAGCCTTTTTGCGTGAGTAGGGAGCTTGCTTGGGGAAGACGTGGCCGACGTGTGAGCAGGGGTGTGTCTCCAGGGTCCCACCGCACTGCCAGATCTGCAGGGCAGCGGAGTGGCTGGGTGAGGGGAGCGGGTCCATCGGCACGGCTGTCCCTTGAGGACAGAGGCCGGGCACCAAGCATCACCCAAAGAGACACTGCCGAGAGTGCACCCTCCAGGGCATGAAACAGGCGACCCCCCCCCCCACCCCACTCCTCACCCCACCGCCCATCCCCGCCTCACCCACCCCCATGCACACGCGGGCTCCAGAACGCAGCCAAAGAACAAGGGAGCGGCCCCAAGGTCTAGCCACCAGAACCAAGACCACAAGCCCATGCACTGCTTGCTCATGCGCGGGGCTCACAGGGCCCAGAGTGGGCCCGGCCAGGAGCCCGTGGGTGGGTGACAGTCCACACGGGCGGATTACCTGATCTCCTAGCCAGAGAAGAGAGGAAAGCAGCTAGGAAGGAGAGAAGTTGGGAAGGGGGAAAGAGGAACTGCCAGACACAGGAAGAGCAGCCTGGCACCTGGAGGAGAGGCAGAAAGACCATTAAAAGCGCACCTCAAAACCCAACGAGGTAGACTCATGCAAGGGCAGAGGGGTGTGAACCACCACACCCCACCACTGGCCCCCAGGATGAACCATCCAGAAAAGCAGCTGAAGCGCTGGAGACAGAGTACAATGGGGTTGGGCACCTGCCTTGCATGTACCTGACCCAGGTTCAGTTTCTGGCAGCTCCGACCATCCCCTGAGCACCGCCAGGAGTGAGCCCTGAGTTTGGGTTTCAACCAAATTCAAAAAGAAAATTTTTTTTGAAAAATAAGACCCAAAAGGACAGTACCTTACGATGGGAGAAGGAAAGCCCTGCGTGGAAGATAAAATTTCTATTTGGTTCACTCTTTATGCAAAGCTGGGATGTTCTATTACTTTTCCCTCCCGTTGATCGTCGATTTGCTCGAGCGGGCCCAGTAACGTCTCCATTGGAGACTTTGTTGTTACTGTGTCTGGCATATCGAATACTCTCGGTCGCTTGCCGGGCTCTCCGAGAGGGGCGGAGGAATCGAACTCGGGTCGGCCATGTTGGCCGCGTGTAAGGCGAACGCCCTACCCGCTGTGCTATCGCTCCAAATTCCAGGGGCCAGAACACTAGTACAGCGAGTAGAGCACACTGCCTGGCATGGGGCCAACCCAGGTTCAATCCGCGGCATCCCATATGGTCCCCCGAGCACAGATAAGAGTCATCTCTGAGGGTAGAGCCCGGTGTAACCCCTGAGCACCACTGTGTGTGGCCCCAAAACAAAACAAGCAAGCAGAAAAGATGAAAAAATTTCTCACAAAAATTAAACAGAGGGGCTGGAGCGATAGCACAGTGGGTAGGGCGTTTGCCTTGCACGCGGCTGACCCAAGTTTGATTCCCAGCATCCCATATGGTCCCCCAAGCACCGCCAGGAGTAATTTCTGAGCACAGAGCCAGGAGGAACTCCTGAGCATCGCAGGGTGTGACCCAAAAAGCCAAAAAAAAAAAAATTAAACAGAAATTTTTAACATCATCAAAAAGCACGACCAATGGCATATGGTCTTGAAATGTAATATGCCAGACACAAGTTCATTGGGAATCCCACGGAAATGGCGGGGGTTCTCACAGAACTGTCACTCGGGGATTCTGAGGGCAGAGGGCGGACTCAGGGGGTCACTCGTTTAGAATGTGACTCTTGCTCCGGCCTGCACGTCCAGCCACTGAACCTGACCCCTTTAACAAGCTCTCCCGAGAATCCTTCTCGGTGTCAGACTCTGAAAGTCACCCTGCTACATACATACTGAGGCGACTTCCTAAAGAGCTCAGCAAGCCTGGCGACCAAAGGTGGACCAGGAGGCAGGATGCTGTGTCTGGGGCCAACCTCGGCCCAGGGCAGCAGAGGGAAAGAAAAGAATCAGGGGACCTAGGAGGTTCCTTCCCTGCCTCCTGCTTTTCTAGTTAAAAGCACGTTCTGTGAGAAGGTCAGATGAGAGAAGCACATATATAGGCTGTCCACGTGTCCACTCTCAGGACACTGGACAAAAGGCCAAGGCGGGGGAAAGCCCAACAGGTTTTCATGAAATCCAGAGAGACAGAGGCATGGAGAGAGAGAGAGAGAGAAAGAGAGAGAGAGAGAGAGAGAGAGAGAGAGAGAGAGAGAGAGAGAGACTGACAGACAGACAAGCACGGCTACAGAAAGAGAGACAGACCCGAAAGGAGAATTCGAGGTTTTCTCCGCCCCAAACTTCCATTCCTGTATCATAAGACCCCAGATACTGAAAATATTTCTTACTCACAGCAAACAGCCCACCAGCCATTGTCGGGGACCTGGAAGAGTTGCAACACCTGCGTCTCAGTGCCGGCCGCAGGAACCCTTACCCAGGCCTGATCTGCCTTCATCAGTCTGGGAGCACTGGTGGTGGGGGGGCTCTGCTGGGAGTCCTAGCTGGGGAAGCTCCCAGACCCCTCCAAATAATCACAGAACTGCGTGTGATGCATGTGATCACGAGGGGTCAAGGGCAGGGACAGCTGTTCCAGGGCGGAGAGGGTACAGGCCCGGGGCGTGTCCAGTACAGAGGAATGAACGGTGCTGGGAAGGCCTCAGCATGGGCAAAGTCTAAGCATGAGAGGACCCCGGCAGCTGCAGATGGACCCGGAGAGAGGGCGGAGACAGCACATGGCTGGGAGGGTGGCGGGGTGGGCGGTGGTGGTGGTCTCACAGCAGAGCCCAGGCACTCACAGATGCAGCTGGGGGCTGCTGGAGGCCATGAAAGATGATTCTAGCACATTTTCCTGAAGCCCTCGATTCCCTCAACCCCACTGAGCAGGCATGGCATCTTCCCCGGCCCCCAGAGGTGGCTCAGGTCGAAAGCTGGAAGGGAAGCACCCCAGAGTGCAGATGTGGGTGTGGGAAACTGGTGGCAGCCGGGTCCCTGTGGTGTCACTGGGGGGTCCTCCCAGCACTGCTGGCTCAGAGTACACGGGAAAAGGCCAGTGGGACTCCTTGGTGGGGGATGGAAGAACAGGAGGGAGGGAAGACCAAGGAAGGGAGAGAAGAGAGGGAAAAGGGAGGGAGAGAAGGAGGGAGGGAGAGACGGAGGGAGGGAGAGAGAGACGGAGGAAGGAAGGAAGGAAGGAAGGAAGGAAGGAAGGAAGGAAGGAAGGGAGGGAGGGAGGGACAGAAGGAGGGAGGGAAAGAAGGAAGGAAGGAAGGAAGGAAGGAAGGAAGGAAGGAAGGAAGGAAGGAGGGAGGGAGGGAGGGAGGGAGGCAAAGAAAAAAGGGAGGGAGTGAGGGAGGGAGGGAAGGAAGGAAGGAAGGAAGGAAGGAAGGAAGGAAGGAAGGAAGGAATGGGGGAGGGAAGGAGGGAAAAGGGAGGGAGGGAGGGAGGGGGGGAGGGAGGGAGGGGTGCCAGCATGAGAGCAATTTCACATGGCTTTAGGGTATAAGTCTAGGGAACAGGGTGACTGAAACACGCAAGAAAGCTGAGATGATGTGTGGAGTTCATGCACAATTCAATCAGCTAATCAGTGGCTGAATAAATAGCAGTACTCCTACATTAAAAAAAACTGAGATGAGACTGTGGGAGGGGCAGGCAACTGACCATGAAGCTGCTGCATTTGTCCATGTGTGTGGGTTTGTGCACATGTCTTCATATGTGTGCACTGGGGGAGGGGGTTGGGGGGGGAGGGAGTATGTCTCCACATCACAGGCTGCATCTGTGACCTGACACATGATCCCTCCTCCTCTGCCTCAGTCTCTAAATCTGCTGTGTGAGGAGCAATGCCAGCGGACCCCCAGTGGCCACTCCAGCAATCCGGGTGTCACCCTCAATCCGTCCTTTTTCCCAGATGTCAATCAGCTTCTCCAAATCCCCCCACAGCCCCGGAGGTCCCCCCACCCCCCAGTCTCAGCCTCCGTCTTCTCCTGCGCCCGCATTTCTGATGGGGAAGTCTGCAGAGCCTCCTAACACATGCCTGGTCCCTGCACCCCATCCTGTGCCCACCAGCTCCCTCACCACGAGGCACCAGGAGTAATTCCTGAGTGCAGAGCCAGGAGTAACCCCGAGCGTCACCAAGTGTGGCCCGAAAACTAAGCCAAACAAATGAAACAGAACGCGAGCAGCCGGGCTCAGACCCAGGCTCACCCACTGACCAACGCTGGCTCTCGGCCGCCCTCACCCTGCGCCCTCACCCATCCCCTAACTGGCTTCAGTCCCACAGAGGCCTGCCACTAAGTGCTCAGAGTCGTCACCATGGAGTCGCCACCTGACCCAGAACCCCACGCCCACTTGGACAGCCGGAAGTGGCAGCCAGCCACCTCGGGCCCTGGAGACTGGCACCAGTCCAGGGGGCAGGGCACCTGTGATATCAGTCCTCCCCGGGGCATGGCACACAACTCCTGGACGGCGGACACACCCACCGGAGGTGAAGGGGCCAACAAAACCGGCCACGTTGACACAAGGCAGAATTATGGGTTCCCAAGGCAAACATCTCGGGACCGGCAAGAAGGCAAACGCGAAGGGACAAAGTGTGGTGGCCTCATTCGCGTGAGGCGTCTGGAAGGGGGAAAGTTTTTGTGGGGGTGTGTTAGAGGCCATTAGGGGCTGGGGTTGACACACACCGCCTGACGGTTGGAGAGATTCTGCGAGGTCGAGGGAAAAGCGCGCTTGAGTCTCCCAAGTTATATATTTAAGAACGGTCAGAGCAGTACATTTTAGGATACATACTTCACCCTATTTTTATTTATCTTGTTTTGGCTTTGGCTTTGGGATCACACCCGGCAATGCTCGGGGGCAACTTCTGGCTCTGCACTCAGGAATCACTCCTGGCGGTGCTCGGGAAACCATAACAGGGTGCCTGGGGGATCGAACCCAGGGCAAACTCCTGCAAGGCAAGCGCCCTACCCACTGAACTCTCTCTCCAGCCCCCTCACCTTTGTTTTTAAATAAACAAAATAGGCCAATGAATATGAACCCCACACTTAGAGCGGGGTGGGTGTAGAGTAAAAAAATAATCAGCAGATGCTTTAGAACAAAACCAGGTGGGGCCCCAGCAAAGCATCCCTGCCCTCCCGCGGGGTGTCTGCTGCAGTTGGGGGGGGGTGTTACGCTCCCAGCCAGTCCTGACCTGATGACATCGATGGGGGACTGCATCCGCTTCCGCTCCCGCTCAGGGACCACGTGCCACGTGAACACCAGCCACCAGTCAAAGCCACCGATCTGAGGCTCTCCGGAGTTGCCCAGGTACTCAAAAGTGTTCCAGTCAATCATGTCGATCACGGGGCACACCACCGCCGTCTCCTCCTCCCCGATCCTGCAGTGACCACACACACACACACACACACACACACAAACACACACACACACTCACACACCACCCAGATATGGCCAGGACCGGAGTGACCGGGAACGCCCGCGCCCCTTCCAAGCCGTGCTCGCTCCCACTGAGGCCCAGTGTGTGCCCTCAGGTCCCCTGCTTCTGGACCCTGCATGGCATCGGTCCCCAATGCCACCCTCCAGCCTGGGATTCAGAGGGAGAGCGAGACACGACGATGGCTCTGCTCTCAGCCCCTGGCACTGGCTTCGGCCCCTGGGAGTCCAGCTGCTGGGACCCTCTTTGAAGCTGGGGAAGAGAAAGAAGCCATGAAGGGAGCCAGAGTGGGTGAGGACAGGGATGGGGAGGGCAGAGAGCAGCAGGGTGAGGCTGGGGGCCGGATGATGGACACCCACACCTGGGAGAGGAGACAGTGGGTGTGTGTGCTTCCAGAGGCCAGCTGCGCAGACCCTGAACCCCCCCGCATCCTTGTCCACGCCACATGGGGGCACAGCCCACCTGGAGAAGTCTGGGGGTGGCCGACAACAGTGATGCAGCATCAGGAGGGAGGAAGTGGAGGGAGTAAGGTGGGTCTGGGGGAAGGGCAGCCTGGAGTGGTTCCCCTCCCCCCTGCATTTAAAACCCTTTCAAAGAATGATACTTAAAAGCGTAGTTGAAGACTACAGGGGTAAGAAGATAAAAAATAACCCAGGCGAGGGCCATCTGCTTCCTGTCCATGATTCTGCTCATGGTTTCCTAGTGACGCTAAGGAAGGTGGGGGCCAGAGACACAGGACCCCAGGGAAGGTGCCTGCCCGACAGGTGGCTGCCCTGGTTCAATCCCCGGCACCCCATGTGGTCCCCTGAACACCACCAGGAGTGATCCCTGAGCAGAGCCAAGAGTAAGCCCTGAGCACTCACGGGTAAGCCCCTTCACACACACAACTCCCCCCCAAAAAAATACAGGGGCTGGAGCCATAACACAGTGGGTAGGGCTTTTGCCTTCCACGCGGCTGACCCGGGTTTGATTCCCAGCATCCCATAGAATCCCCTGAACACCACCAGGAATAATTCCTGAGTACATGAGCCAGGAGTGACCCCTGTGCATTGCCGGGTGCGACCCATAAAAGCAAAAAATAAATATTAAATAAATACATAAGAGAAATTACTGTGAATCACCATTTCTGTGGGTCCCTTCAGACTTGACGAGCCCCAGGCAACACAGGTACTGGATGACCTGGGAAAGTCAGCCCAGCATGAAGGAAAGACGACCAAAATGTGCTGCCTAGGGCTGTGATCTGATAAGATCCACACCATCCTGTTCTTGGCCTCTCTGCCCACGGCAGCACTTTTCGATTCAGGCACCTGACCAGCGGCAGTAAAAGCAACTCCCCTGTACCAGCAAGCCGTGGGTACAGCAGCGCCTGATGCCCTCGAAGGCTCCCAGACCAGGGTCCCTGATCATGTGACCAGGGATGGAGCCGTGGACTGAGACTGGGGGACGGGGCAGCCAGGCCGAACCCGAGGCCCACGGACCTGGGTCTCCCGTGTTCCCACTGGGCACCGCCCCAGCACCTCTGCAGCAGCGGCTCCAGCCAGCCCTCGTGGCACTCGCAGTGGCAGTCCAGGAAGGTGAGGACATCGGCCTTGGCCCCCGAAGCCCCGAGCAACCGGGCGCGCACCAGGCCCTCCCTCTTGGTGGCACGGATGAGGCGCACCTTGGGCAGGTGGGCCAGCTCGGCTTCCAGGCGCTCCTTCAGGTGCTCTGGGGAGGAGAATGGGGCATCCGGCTCACTCCCGCCCTGCCCGGGCAAGGGAAGGCTGGGATGGAGAACTCTAGAACCACCAGCAACGTTCCCACGTGCCCCCCTTGGACCCAGACTCCCAGGTCTCAGGACTGTCAGGACTTGGTGCCCAGCTGGTTCTATCGGCATCGCCTCACGCTCACCTGCCCTGCACTCTGTCATGGGCAACGCTGTCATGGGCAACGCTAAATGACCCCGAATACTCTTCCCACGATTTCCAGCCAAGCACATGGCCACCACCCCAAAGACATCAGTCACCCAGGTTAAGATGTGTGATCCCCAACGCCCCACCTGGTCCTCTGAGCACACCAGGAGTGAGCCCTGAGCACAGTGCCAGGAGCAAGCCCGGAGAACGGCCCAGCGGGCCCCAGAACAAACAAGCGAGACTACAGTCCTGAGCGTCCCCTGCAGCCAGGTGTGGCCAGGTGACTGTTCTTCTGCAGGGTGGGAGGTGAGACCCCCTACTAGGTGCTGCCCAAGTCCCCTGGACACCCTTCAGTACAGGTGGGAGTGAGAGAGAGAGGGGAGGGGCAAGGCTGGGGCATCCCAGGGAGCACAGCACCCCAAAGAAGGCGAGTGTTCACCCCTGTCCCCACCCCTGGCCCCCACACCTGCCCTCACACCCTCCCTCACAGTTGGCCCCCAACACCTCTCCCCCACCTCTGTCCCCAAGACCTCTCTCTCACACCCACCCCCCAACACCTGCCCTCTACACCTGTTCCCCCATGCCTATAGCCCATACCTATCCCCAACACCTGTCCCCCACACCTGCTCCCACACCTGCCCTCTACAGCCATACCCCAACTGCACGGAGACGTTCCCTGTTATCTCCTGTAAATCACTGTTATCTAGAGCCTCCCAGAGAACAGCCCAGCACAGCTTTCAATTAGAACCCGTCTACAGTGAGAACCAGACAGAGCTCAGAGGCAAGAGCAGGGGAGGGGAGGATGGGCGTCAAGGGAGGGCGGGGTGGGGGGAGCGGAGGCCAGGGCAGGGTAGAGGGGAGGCCAGGCACCTCTATCGCTGTAATCATCCACCAGGATGACCTCCTCCAGCAGGATGTCTGGGGACGTCTCGAGGACACTGTAAACGGTGCGAAGGAGGGTTGACCAAGCTTCGTTATAAAACACGATGATCACGGACGTCGTTGGCAGACTTTCATAATTGTACTTCTGCTCTCTGCACCTGCAGAAGCAACACAGCCTCAGGGACGGGGAACACCCTGCACCGGGGCATCCCAGGCCTGGCACGGTGCTTCGAAGGACCTCTGAAGGGAACGTCAATCATGGTTGAGACCTGCCATAGAATTTGGTCGCATCTTCTAGAAATGCTTTGCCCTGGAGCCTCCTGGAAGCCTCGGTAGCTCCCAAGAAAGGTTGTACAATGACACCCAAAAAGCCTGAAGTCACTCTGGTAAGGGCAGGCTGGGTCTCCCTATAAGTCGTACTGTTGACATGGCCTCCAGGGCCAGATTGCCCAATGATGAACCTGGCTCAGATCCAATGCTACAGGGCCATCCCTGGGCCGGGATGGGATCCCCCAGAGCCAAACTTGATGGTGCCCAGGAGGCAGGCAGTGTCCAAGGAGGCACTTGGGTCTTTTCACACGGTCCCCTGACCCTGAGCTCTCTCCCTGCTCTGAGGTTGTGTATTTAAGCTGGGCAGCAACGCTCACAGTTGTGCCACCCAAAACCTAGGCAGGCTCCAAAGACAGGAAGACGGTTCCATCCTCAGGCTGTGCAGGTTTCACCTCTGTCCACTCCCACTTCAACCCCACTGCCCAGCTTCTACTCAGCTCTCTCCTCCTCTGCCTGGCACCCTCACTGCCCTCCTTCCAGAACCACCTGGAAAAAGCCCTGTGTGGAGAACACCTGTGTGGGGTGGCCGCTCCCTCCGGCCGTCGCCCGTTCCTGCATACCACAAACTCATGTACCCTCCACTCATCCCCTCCTCCCATGCCCCAAGTCTCCTCACAGACATGTTTGACTCATGTGAGGCTTGGGGCTGGGGCACAGGAATGCTAGGGACTCTGGTGGACACCACGGGGCAGCCTTGTGGGGAGAGGAGGTTCGGGAACACGTATATCTGGCCGAGAATCAAATCCATCTCTGATGGTGCGGCACAGGGTCACTGTGGGCTTGTGCTGTATGGGGAGCCTGTGGGCAGTGAAGGGTTCCACACTGGGGTGAGGCTCTGGGCAGAGAAATTCCATCCAGTCCTTGAGAGGTTTGGGAAATACCTGGAGGTTTGCAGGTCCTTTACCTGAGGCATGATCTGGCCACTAGGGGGCCTGGCACCCAGGAAGAATTGGGGGCAAGGTGGGGGCTCTTCCTGGTGGGCACTGCAGCGGGGGTGTAGACACAACAGGCACCATGGGCATGTCATGTCAGGTTCTGATCCATGGTGAGACCCCCACAGGACAGCTCATGCTTCATCAAGAAGCATGAGCCGTTCCCTGGCAGGACCCGCCCCACCCAATGCCACACGCCCACACAGGCTGGGATGCATCCATTTGGAGAAACAATCTTGGAAACAGGACAGTGGCTGTCAGGGAGAGTGATTCAGCCCTCTCCCCTCTCTCTCCTCTGCCACCAATTCATGATCCCCTAAACTGTCCCAGGTAGTGCCTAGAACTCAGTTGCTGACTGTTCCAGCCTCCATCCTTTTCAGGACGTCCTTTCCCAGAATAGAAAAAGTGCACTGGAGGAGGGGGAGCTCTCGGCTCAGACTTTTGCTTGGTCTGTAGCCTATGATTCTGTCTGCCAAGCCTAAGGGGAGGGAACCAAGCAGGCAACAAGAGGCAGAAGCGAAAAACTAGGCAGGACCTCTGAGAGACCCACTCTAGGAGGAGGCCAAGATGGATGGGTCAGTAATCACCAAATTTGACAAGAATCAAATGTGAGGTTTGCTCTGACAAAATGCTGAGCAAAACCAAATGGCAACCGGCTGAGTGGACAGCAACATTCCTGGAGTCAGAGATCACCTTGTCCCAGGTGAGGAAGACAAGACTTATCGCCCACCTGGTGACAGGAAGCCACCAGGCTTCATTCCAGGTTCCTTACCATTGACCCACGAACAGATGACTAGGAGCAGACCAAGACAACCCCAAAGGCCCCTTCATCTAACCCAGGGCGCGGGTGTACCGTTGCCTCACCTGAGGTTCGGAGAGTCCACCCGGGAGCGCCCCCAGTAAGATACTCCTATTTCCTTAACTTTATTTCTATGTCTCTGTCCCTCTGTATGACCCGGACGGCGTTCCCAACTCTCTCACCGAGGAAGAGAGTGAGAGCAGTTTGCCCGAGCAGGAATGGAAGAGGCTCACGGGAACGCTCAAACAATGGAGCTTAGAAACTGGAGTCACTACTGTGGGAGCACCTGAGAGCAGTAGGCACCACTGTTTGTTAGATGAAAGTTGTTACCGCAGAATCGAGGTAGCCTGTAAACAACTTACATAATTATGCTCTGACCTGCTAATGCCCGTTTGGGGGTAGCTGGATAGAGCCTGCACATGTGGAATACACTGGGATGCTTCTGGCAAACTCTTGGGTGCCACATGTGTCTTGGTGAGACTCTGTATGATCCTAAAAGGAAAAACTCCAAAGACAGTCGTTCAATGGGAGAACAGCTCTCCCCACCGGCAAGGGGTGAGAGGGGTCAAGCTGCTGATCCCCACAGTCTCCCAGCTCCCCAAACCTCAAGGCAAACCTGGACTTGGTGTTTCCAGAGCCCAGGGACCCAGAGGCCAGACACGGGGAGCTAAGCCCAGAGCCCCGTAGAGGCTGCGAGAGGGTGTGCAGGACAGGGTGAGTTGTGCAGAACCGTGAGAGTGAATGGGCGACCCCAGGCCCATGGTGCAGGTAGAGGGGCAGGGCTATGAACTGGGCACCGAGGGGTAAACCAGGAGCTGCCTGTGACTGCCCTGGGCTGCCTTACCAGGAGTGTGACTCCCAGTAGAAATGTGACTGGCAGGAAGGGGCATGGCTGACCAAATTCCTGGAAATGACTGGAACAGGATGGCTCTTCTTTCTGAGGCTTTTCCATCTGGTCTGACACATGGATCTGGACACAATTCTTGTCACCAGTAGAGTGTCACTCAGCCAAGGCTGTCCCATCAGGTCCAGGCGTGCAGGAACAAAGAGGAGTCAGGGCCTGGTTCTCTATTTCATGGGGTCTGACCGTGCTGTGATGGTGGCGGTGGGACTTGTATTAGGGAACCCGATGGTCCACACAGAAGTGGGGCGCTATTCTCAGGGATCAGCTCTGTACAGACTCGGGGACACTAGAAACATGTTCCATCTACAGCCCCATCCTGCTCCACTGATAACACAATGTCTTCCTGCCAGGGCAGGTGCCATGGAGAGGGGCCCTGGCTGAGGGGACAGCACCTTGGACCCACCTGCTGCAGGAGCACTTTCAAGTTCTCATCCTGAGAAACCTGATGTGGCCACTAGGGGGCAAAGTGGGGTCTGTCCCTGGTGCCACTGCAGAGTGGAATGGGGAAACGGGCACCAGGGGCAGGGGAGGCCATGGAGGTGCTGCAGTGGAAGGCAGGGCTCTGGGTGCTGCATCCTGCCCTCCCTCCTGGGGACGCATTGGTGATTGAGACCTTCAACCCTTGGGGTGGACTCTCCTGGGGTCATTGACAGGCTTCACACAGGGGCAGGCAGGTGACGCGTCTTGGCATGGTGACATGGCCGAGGCTTCCCACAATCTAGAAGCAATTGTCAACTACTGGCCAGACCTGCCCCGCCCAGTGACACACACACCCACACAGGCCTGGGATAGATCCATTTATTGCAACAATCGTGAAAATCAGACAGTGGCGGTCAGGGAGAAAGCCCGCCTTCCTCCTTCCCTCTTCTCAGCCAGCAATACAAAGTCCCCAAACAGCCCCAAAGAGTGTGTAGAATCCGGTCACTGTATGGTACCAGCGGCCGAGCTTCAGGGCTGTCATGCGCAGAAACAGGACCCCACAATGGGGAGGGGAGAGCTGAGTTGTAACTTCTGACCTCCAAATCATTGTTTGCTAGTGCTGGCGCGATATAACTGCCATCCTGATCCCTCTGACCTTGTGGAGGGGGACATCTCGGCCCCTCCAATACCTGGGGTCTAGTGTGAGGGGACACATCGGCACCCCCCGATCCTGGCATCTAGTGGTGGGGGGCATCTCTGGCCCCCCTCGATCAATGGCGTCTACTGGTAGGGGGAGGCATCTCTGCTCCCCCATCCTTGGCGTCTAGTGATTGGGGGGGCATCTCTGGCCCCACCGATCCCTGGCGTCTAGTGGTGGGGGCCATATCTGCCCCCCTGATAAATGGCGTCTAGTGGTGGGGGGGCATGTCTGGCCCCCCCTCGATCAATGGCGTCTAGTGGTGGGGGGAGGCATCTCTGGCCCCCCCGATCCCTGGCGTCTAGTGGTTGGGGGGGCAACTCTGGCCCCCCCAATCCCTCGTGTCTAGTGGTGGGGGGGCATCTCTGACCCCCCATCCCTGGCATCTAGTGGTGTGGAGCCATCACTGGCCCCCCCGATCCCTGTTGTCTAGTGGTGGGGGGGCATCTCTGGCCCCCCGATCCCTGGCGTCTAGTGGTGGGGATGCATCACTGGACCCCCCATCCCTGGCGTCTAGTGGTGGGGGGGCATCTCTGGACCCCCGATCCCTGGTGTCTAGTGGTGGGGAGGCATCACTGGCCCCCCCGATCCCTGTTGTCTAGTGGTGGGGGGGCATCTCTGGCCCCCCCGATCCCTGGCGTCTAGTGGTGGGGAGGCATCACTGGCCCCCCCATCCCTGGCATCTAGTGGTGGGGGGGCATTTGTGGCCCCCCCGATTCCTGGTGTCTAGTGGTGGGGGGGGCATCACTGGCCCCCCCATCCCTGGCGTTTAGTGGTGGGGGGGCATTTGTGGCCCCCCCGATCCCTGGTGTCTAGTGGTGGGGGGGCATCACTGGCCCCCTGATCCCTGGTGTCTAGTGGTGGGGGGGCATCTCTGGCTCCCCCTTGATCCTTGCCCTCTAGTGGGGGGGGGGAATCTCTGCCTCCCCTGATCCCTGGCGTCTAGTGATGGGGGGGCATATTTGCCCCCCCTTGATCCTTGCCCTCTAGTGGGGGGGGGAATCTCTGGCCCCCCCCGATCCCTGGTGTCTAGTGGGGGGGCATCTCTGGCCCCCCCTTGATCCTTGCCCTCTAGT